TTCCTGCTCTGTCCTAGTAAGGACACCAGCAGTCACTTTGTGTTAGATGTAAAAGCTGAGAAGAGCCAATGCTTGTGACTCAAACCCACTCATCCCATCTCCAGGTTAGTTAGTTTTTGTTTGTTTGTTTGTTTCAGTCATGGTTAAATACTTAGAAAATTTATCATTCCAACCATTTTTACATGTATGACTCTGTAGCATTAAGTACACTCACAATGTTATGGAACCATCATCTTAGTTCCAGAACTTTTTCATTTCCTAAACAGTAAGTCTATACTCATTAAAGGATAACTCCCCATTTCCTTCCTCCCACCAACCCCTGGTAACCTCTAGTCTACTTTCTATCTCCAAGAATTTGCCTGTTCTACATAACTAGTGTAAGTGGAGCCATACAATATTTGTTCTCTTGTGTCTGGCTTATTTCACTTGGCATAATGCTTCAAGGACCATCCACACTACAGAATGTATCAGAACGTCATTCCTTCTTACAGCTGGACAACAGCCCATGTATGTAGATACCACATTTTGTTTATCTGTTCATCTGTGGATGGGTACTTGGGTTTTTTCCACCTATTGGCTACTGTGACTAATGCTGCTATGAACGCTGGTGTACAAACAGCTGTTTGGCTGCTTTCAATCCTTCTGGGTACAGATGGAGAGGTGAAATTGCTAGATTGTATGATAATTCTACTAGAATATGTGTTTTTTCTATTTTTGCATAGAAAAAATGCGTCATGATTTTTCCAACAACTCATTATATTTGACCTCTTGAAGAACTGCCAAATTGTTTTCCAAACTGTTGCACCATTTTACATTTCCATCAACAATGCACAGGGGATCCCATTTTTCCACTTCCTCACCAACACATACTGTGTGTTTGTATGTGTGATGGCTCTCATTAAATGGTATATCACTGTATTTTGATTTGTATTTCCCTATGATAATAATATTGATCATCTTTTCATGTGCATATTGACTATTTACATATCTTCTTTGGAGCAATGTCTTTTCAAATCACTTGCCTGTTTTTGAATTGTTCATTGTTTTTGAGTTGTAGTTCTATGCATATTCTGAATAATAACTTCATAATGGATGTATAACTTTCGGATAGTTTCTTCTACTCTGTGATTATCTTTTCACTCAATAGTATCTTTTGATGCAAAAAAAGCTTTTAACTTTTTTTTTTTTAATTTGTCAGAGGAGGAGAGAGAGAGAGGATGTGAGAAAGCACTTCCCACTGGGCATAGACATGCTGCAATCTTCTCTCCTCCACCTTTTTCCCCACTCAGGACTCTGGGTACTCAAACACACACACTCAGCATGTTTTGCAACCTGTCAGGTCCAGGCCTTCAACTGCATATTCAGCCATGTGGGATCCAGCTGCTCCAACCACAGATCATGGGCCATCCTCAACGTTTAAAAAATTTTTTTTTTAGAATTTTAAAATTCTGGGGGCCAGCAGGTGATGTGGTGATTAAGTTGCTGGAATTTCCATATGGTCAACTGTGGTTCAAATCCTGGACCTGGCAGCTTGCTTTCTCCCTCTCTTTCTCTCTTTCTTCCTCTGGCAAAACTCATGTGAAAAAAAAAAAATAAATAAATAAAATAAATTAATTTTAAAAAAATTTTAAATGTTATTGTATTAAATATTATTATTATTATTATTATTATTTTAATCTGACCAGAGAAAAAGAGATAGAAAAAGGGAAAGTGAGAAAGCAAGTCACTAGGTCTGGGACTCAAACCATGGTCAGCCATGTGAGAGTCTAGTGCCTTAACCACCACACTACCACCTGCCAGCTCCCAACATTTTAAATTTTTATGTAAGTCTATTATCTTTTTTTCTTTTGTTTCTTATGCTTTTGGTGCCATACTTAAGAAATCATTGCCTAATCCAATGTCTGGAAGGTTTTCGCCCATGTATCCTTTTAAATAATTTAGGTTTAGCTCTTTTATTTAGGTCTTTGATCCATTTTAAGTAAACTTTTGTATGTGATATAAGGTAAGGGTTCAACTTCACTCTTCTCCATTCGGGTATCTAATTTTCCCAGCACCTTTTGTTGAAAGGACTGTCATTTCCTCATTGAATGATCTTTGCACCCCGTTGAAAGTCAACTATTATGTGAAGGTTTCTGGGTTTTTTTGTTTTACTCTATTTGTCTATATTCTCTCCTTATGCTGGTACTATACTGTTTTGAATATTGAAACTTTGTTTTTTTGCTTTTAATTTTTTGCTGTAGGACATTTGCACTCACTGAAGAGACAGAGAGATAAAAAGAGAAAGAGAGAGAGCCCCCCTGGAGGATGGCCATGCCACAAACCCTTTTCCTCCATTCTTCTCTCAGTATTTGGGTACACATGCACACCTACCCAGCATGTTTTCAAGCCGCCAAGTCCAGGACTCAAATTGCACAGTAGGTCAGTGAGATCCAGCACCTTAACTACCACAATAATGGCTGGCCCAATCACTGTAGTTACACAGTAAAGTCTAAAATCAGGAAGTGAGTGTAAATCCTCCAATTGTGTGCTTTTTCGACTTGTGTTGTCTCCCTTTAGCATTTCTAACAGGTCAATTCTACTAATAAACTAAGTTTTAATCTGGAAATGTCTTAATTTCTTTTTCATTCTTAATGGGTAGTTTTGCCTGGTATATAAATCTTGGTTGGCAGATTTTTTTTTTTTTTTTTAATTTCAGGACTGTAGCTATATCATCCCACTGCCTTCAGGTCTCCATGGTTTCTGATAAGAAATCAGGTTGATAATCTTACTATAGATTTTTAGCATGTGGTGAGCTGCTTTTCTCTTGCAGCTCTCAAAATTCTCTCTCTTTTGTCTTTGGGTTTCTTAATATAATGTGTCTTGGTGTGCCTTTTTTCAAGCCTATCCTGCTTAGAGTTTGTGGAGTTTCTTTGGATGTGTAGATGCACATCTTTCAGCAGATTTGGGAAGTTTTCTGCCATCATTTCTCCAAATATTTCTATCTCTTTCTCCATTATTCTGAGATTCCTATAGTGCATATATTAGTATACTTGACAATTTTCCATAGGTCCTTCAGGCTATGCTAATTTTGCTCCTTTTTCCTTTTGCTCCTTTGAATAATTTCAATTGTCTTATTTTCAAATTAACTGATTTCTTCTATTTTTTTATGAGAGAGATTTTTTTCTATAAGGCACATGACCTTGCCAGAAAGACAGAGACAGAGAGATAGAAAGTGAGAAATCACTCGCCAAGGGGGAATGGCTACACCACAGTCCCTTCTCCTCTATTCTCCTCTCAGGATCTTGGCACGCATGCACATGTGCCTGGTGTGAGGTTTAAGCCACTGGGTCCGGGACTTGAACCACAATCAACTCTGTGAAAATCCAGCAACATAACCATTACGCCATCTGCTGGTCTCTGATTTCTTCTTTTACTTACTCAATATGTTGTTGAACCCCATTCATTTCAGTGACTGTACTTTTCATCTCTATAATTTCATTCCTTTTTTTTTTGTAACTTTTGTTTCTTTTTGATATTTTCATTTTGCTCGTGTGTAGTTTTCTTGATTTCTTGTAGTGCTTTGTCCATAATTTCCTTCAGCTTACTGATTGTATTTAAGACAGTTGATTTAACATTTTTGACTAATAATTCCGATGTCTAGACTTCCTCAAGGATGGTGACTGTCAAAATCTTTTCCCCTTCTAAATGAGCCAAAATTTCCTTTTTTGGGGGGTATGTTTTACCACTTTTTTTGTTGAGAACTGGGCATTCTGAATGTTGTGTTAACTGGACATCTATTTCTCTCATATCTCAGGGCTTACTGATTTTTGCTTGTCGAGGGCTAGAACCATCTGTTTGTGACTTTTTCAAACTATTTCTGAAAAGAATAACATTCTTTGTGGTGTGGGGGTCACTTAAGTTTCTATTCTATTGTCTCTGTGGTCAGCCAGTGACCTGAAATTTCCTTAAATGTCTGGCTTGCCAAAAGAGGGAAAGAAGTTAGAGAAAAACTTTAAAAAGGCATTGTCTTTTAAAATCCCCCATGGGTAGGAAGCTGCTTCAGCCCATGGGGGTTGAAATGATGACCAGTCTATCTGCTGGCTCCTCAGTGACCAAATGTAGCAATCAGCAATCAAAACACAAAATCCTGACTTTGGAGGACAAGGCTGTTACTGCCCACCTCAACACCAGGAGCCTGGGCGGCACTTACCATGGTTGCCTGCTACAGGACTGCTAAGTGAAACAGGGAAAGTTACTGAAATTGACAACTCCTCTACCAATCTCTAACCTGGATGTTGTGAATATTCAACTAGACTCAGTAGTTGCAAGATAGCTGCTTCAGACAGGTACTGGCAGCTCAACTGGGGTCTTGTGGAGGATCAGATTCTGATGCTTCCAACTCTACCATCTCCTGTGACATCACTCTCTCTAGGTTAGTTTTTGTAACAAACTTACTCAAGCATCCTCCTCTCTCTTGAGCATAACGTCCTGGCCTACTGGTAAATCACAAGAAGCACAGAGCTGAGCGCAACATAAAGGGACGTAGACCAACTTAGGTGAAACTTCGCGGTGATAGAGGGCATTCTGCAAATGCTCTGCATTGAGAAAGGTCAAACCAGCCATAAGAAACCTCCCTTATGTACTGCTCTGATTCTAGAATGTGCCACTAGCCATTTTGTAAAGCAGCTTGTGAATTGCAGGGCCCAGAGGAGAGTTATATTCTCCCACTCTTGCCCCAGGAGAACACGACTGGAGATGGAGAGGCCTGCTAGAAGCCAGTGGCCCTGTGTGCTCACACCAACTGCTAGATGATGGCTATGAGCCCTGCCAGGGGTTTGCTATCTGCTTTGCAGAGCGAGGTTACACTGTACTGTGTGAGCATGCAATGAATAAGCGTCTACAAATGCTAACAAATGGATTCCATGTATGCCCAAGAGGGAAGGTGATAATCCATTATAATAAACTTTCTTCAACATCAGGAAGAAGAGAAACACAAGAGAGGACTTTCATCATTAGAAAAAAGCACTTTGCTATTTAAGAACAGTGAAAGGCTCTCTGCTCTTCAATGTGAGTCGAATGTCCTCTAATGTCCTGTTACTCTCTACTACCAGGGGTTGTGGAACTGTGTGACTCGGATGATGTTCTGATTTAGTCCACTGTTAAGAAATGATGAGGGGCCAGCAGTTGGTGTAATGGCTATGTTGCTGGAATCCCATGTAGTTGACCATGGATCGAGTTCCAGACCCAGTGGTTTAAATTCATGTCGGTGCACAAGCGTGCAAGCCCAACAGGGGGTGATTTCTCGCTTGTCTCTCTCTTTCCAGCGAGCGCACGCACCCTATAGCAAAAAACCTCTCCAAAAAAAAAGAACGATGAAAGAGGGAGAGACAAAGAAATAAAGGGGGAGAGAAAGGAAGGCTGGAAGGAAAGATGGGCTAGAAAAGCTTGGACCCCTTTAAGTTCACCATGTTCTTTCCCTTGCACAGGTTAAATAAGTAAGTAAGTAAGTAAATAAATAAATAAATAAGAAACCAAAAAAAAACAAGACACCCCTCAGCCCTTTATCATATTGTGTTCCCCTGGGACTGCTGCCAGGTGTCCCCTGGAGCAGCCAGGCAGTTAGTCCTGCTACGAGGCAGCCTTAGAGACAGCAGATACCACCACCCCCCTGCCCCGCCCCAGCCCATGTGGTAAATTCCGTGTCCACCATGAGTGCATACTCCCCTTACCCACAGAGGACGCCATGGCTCCTTACCTAGCTGAAGGCCAGTCTGGGTACTTGAAGTGTCAAAGGGCTCTGAGCTGGCCTCAGGGGCACCTGGCTCCCATGAATCACTGTTCTCGGACACCTCCGAATAGGTGTCACCCATCCCTTTGTGAATTGCCACGGGCTCACTAGTGCCAGGGCCCTGGTCCTCACTGCCTGTGTCTGCCACGGCCCGGGTCTCCTCGCCCATTTTTTCAGCAAACCATTGCTTGACCTGCTGGGAGCTCATCTGGGTCTTGTCACAGAGACTCTGCAGGTCCTCCTCGTACAGCGTCTTGTGTGCCATGTAATAGTCTTGCAGCAGCTCCCGGTTGCCAGGGGCAATGATCAGCAGCCCTGGTGGGAAGTTGCCATGTTTATAATCTTCGTACCACTTGAGCTGGCCGTTCTTCAGGGCGTACCTGCTGTCTCCGAACCAGCGCACCACCTCTGGCCGTGGCAGGCCTGTCTGGGCCATGATGGAGTCGTAGTCCTGGTTGCTGGGCCACTGTGTCTGGACAAAGAGCTGCCGCAGCAAATGCCGTTGCTGGGCCGTCTTTTTGTAGGTCACCTTGCCGGGGGGCTGCTCCACCCCCTTGTTTGACCCCTCGTCCTCAGGTTCGAAGGCACCCAGTGCCAGCAGCTCACCCTTGCCATTGGCCTCAGTGACCCGCAGGTTCTTGAGGTTGATTTTGATGGGGCTGACTTTACGCTCTGCCAAGCTGTGGCTGCTGGCCATGTCTGGGGAGCCGTTTTCACCAGGGGCCCTCAGCTCGCTGGCCTCTTCTCTGCCCTCATCTTCAGCAGCCTCTTCCTCCTGAGAGGCACTCTCATCAGCCTTCTTGGGCTCCGCGGCATGTGCTTTTTTTCGTCTCTCTGAAAACCAGCTGTCAATTTCTCTCCGGGTCATTTTGGTTTCGCTTCGCAGGCGGTCCAATTCCTCATCAAGGGGAAGGGGGTTTTGTGCAAAACTGCTCTCCAGTGCTCTGAGCTGCTCGGGGGCTCGCTCCTTGTATTTGGTTGGTGTGAAGTCGGGAGCCTGGTGCCAGGATTGCCGTTTGGCTGAAGGGTGGGTGGCCAGTGTGGTTGTCGGAATGCAGGTCACCTCGGGGGCCTTGGATGATGGGGAGAAGGGCCCCTCTGGCACAGAGTCGATGACGATGGAGCTGTGCTCCCCGGGCACCATGGTGCGGGAGCCCTTCAGGTTCCGGCAGTGGTATCTCCGATCGCTGAACCACTTCCGCACCTCTCTGGTACTAAGCCCGGTCACTTTGGTCAGATGCTCGACTTCACTCTGCCCTGGGAACTGGTTCCGACAGAAGCTCCCTTTCAGAGCTGACAGCTGCTCATGAGATTTCTTATTTTTATACATGCTGGCATCAAGGAAGGCCTGGGAGGTGATGCTGGGGCACGCTGTGAGGAGCGACTGGGCAGCGTTGACCACCTTTACGGCCGACGTTGTATTGGAGCACACCGTGTTAATGGGTGCCACAGTGGACTGCTTGGGGACAGATGTCACCGCGAGGGGGAGAGATGAGCTAGGTGCTTGCAACCCATTTGCCATGAGGGGCTGCGTGACCAGAAGGCCCCCCGCTGTACCCTCGGGCTGCCCCACAACATGGCCCGGGAGGGCGGCCTGGATGAGGTGCTGGACATTGCTGGCACTGGCGACCAGGGGAGTGTTCAGAACCGTGATCGTGGGCTGAGGAACAGACTGGATGACGGTATTGAACATCTTTTTCCTAGCATCTTCGATCTCCTCTGGGGACCAGCTGATTCCTTGCTTCAGCCTTTGGGCTGTGAACCAGATCTTGAGCTGTTCTTCTGGGTACTTGGTCACCACCGTCAGGTAGCAGAGCTCGGCTTTGGTTGGGTAGGGGAACTTGTGGAAGGAGTTCTTCAGGAAGCTGTTGGAGTCCATGGCTGCGTTGTACGTTGGAATGCTGCTCAGGGGGATCATCACCTTGGGGAGGGTCTTAGATGTGGGCAGGGGCTGGTGGCTGTGGTGCTGGCTGTGTGCGGGCGGCTGCTGTTGCAGGGAGAGGAATGGTGCTATCCCGGCCGGCAGAACCGGCACGGTGCCCATCAGGGGCCCATTGGCGGCGTGGGGTGGTTTTGCGGAGCTGGCAGAGGCCTGGCTGATTGGTACCGCCCCGTTGACAAAGGAGTGGTCCCCCTCTTTTGCCTCTGTTTCTCCAGCTACTGGCTTTGGGAAGGCCTCGCCCACAGGCTGGCCAGGCACGTTCTCCTTGAGCGTGTGGATTTTTTTGGCTTCGGCTTTGCCTTTCATTATCTTCATGATTGGGGTTTTGGTGATGATGATTTCTGCCTGGCCATCGCTCCCCTCAGCAGTGGGCTCCCCAGTGAGGTCAGGGGTGCCGGTGCTCTCGGGGACAGGGACACTCTGCTCCACAACCACATGATTGTCTGGCCTGGCCACATTCCACAGGAAACTGGCTTCCCCCGAGTGACACCTGGCATTGTGCAGGGAAAGCCCCTCAGGGGTCTTTGCCAGAAAACTGCACCCAGTGCATACAAAAGTTGGGTCTTTGTTGAAGTCTGTGTGCTCTGAGTTCATATGTCCCACAAACTGGGTCATATCCTGGGACCGGAAGTCACAGTATTTACAGGAATATGAATAGCCATCCAAAGTGCTCTGGTGCCCGTTGGCCAGTGCAGAGCCATCGGTACTACTGGGGTTAGAGGCTGCCTCAATGCTGGCGGCAGGTGCTTCTGGGGGTGGGTCCTGCTGGGGTCCTTCGGGCAAGGTCTCAGCAGGCTGGGCCTCGGTGCTGGCATCCTGCAACACCACAGTCTTCACCGGGATCATGCACGGTGTGGTGGACTTCCTCTTACTGGCCATGGTGACAGTCACACTGGGTAGTCAGCAGGTGAGAGCCTGTCCCATCCAGGGTCTCACAGTGCAAGTTCCAGCAACTCCATGAGAGCCAAAGAAAGAGTCTCAGGGTAGCTTTTGCAGTTGTTTTCTCTATTAAACCTTAGGAAGAAGAGAAAGAAGAAGATTAAGATCTTTTTTTTTAAAGGTTTTGCTATAGGGCGCATGTGCTCACCAGAAAGACAAAGAGAGACAGAGAGATAGAAAGCAAGAAATGACCCCCCAGGGGGGATGGCCATGCCACAATCCATTCTCCATTCTCCTCTCGGGATCTTGGGCACGCATGCACAAGCGCCCGGTGTGAGTTTAAGCCACTGGGTCCAGGACTCAAACTGCGGTCGACTACGTGGGAGTCCAGCGACATAACCATTATGCCAACTGCTGGTCCCAGAAGATTAAGATCTCTTGATCCTCGCCTGTACATTTTTCGGAAACCGAGACGCTCACTGCTCACCCTACACGTCTAGGTCTTCTCACAGGAAGGTCGGTCAGTAGCCCCCGAATCACCAACAACACAGTGCCCTGAAGAACCATCTGGGGATGTTCCAACACCATCTGATGAACTTCAGCAATGTGTTCTTTCTTTGTTTCTTTTTTCCCTCCTGTATCTTTGTATTAAGTAACTTGGATTAAAAACCAAAACCCAGAACACCCTCTTTTGGACCTCTAAATTAATTCTGACTACGCTGGAGTGAGAACAAAAGATCCTAGTGTAATTCTTGTTTAAATGTTTGGGTCAACAAGGATTTTTCTTTTCATAGCCTTCCCACATACATCTGAGAACAAAACAACGCCTCTGCCTTTTCCAGACCAGGCTCAGGGGCCCCACTGGCTGCAGCCTGAGTGGCAGGGGTGGGCTATCCTGGTGGGCAAGAAGGCTGGGGAGTGTCTGAGGGAAGGCCCTGCCAGCTGCCCCACCTTACCTGTTCCAGTCCCAGAGAAGGGATCACCTCACAGTCACCACCTACCCCTGGGACCACCATCACCCAGATGGAGCCAAAGGCTGATGGTTCAGGGGATCCACAATCAGTTTGTGGCCCAGGTTATATTTCTTTCTGAGTGTGGCAACTCAGAGTGTGGCTCATCTTTGGTGTGCACATTACACATGATCTGTTCATGTGCTTTTTTTTTTTTCCCCCTTCATGAAAAAGAAAGAGACTACCCCCAGGGGCTCACAATGCTGCAATCCACTCTTGCCGCCCAGCCAGCCAGGATCACAAGTGCACCATGGGTGTGTCCTGCACCCTCAGGCCTGGCATATGAAGCCCTAGACCTTCTGCATGGCTCTAGTACTGAGCAACAGCACCTGACACCTGCGTCACTGCAGCTAACTCTGCGCTTACTGTTTCTTATTCTTAATTTTCTTTTGGTGTCTTTATTGTTCCTTAAAAAAGAGCCTATCGAGAGACAAGCAGATGTTGTAATGGTTATGTTTCTGGACTCCCACTTAGTTGACCGTGGTTCGAGTCCTGGACCCAGTGGCTTAAAACTCATGCCGGGTATGTGTGCATTCTCCTGAGAGGAGAATGGAGAAGGGAATGCAGAGTGGCCACCCCCCTGGGAGAGTTATTTCTCACTTTCTATCTCTCCAGTGAGCGCACATGTCCTATACCAAAAATCTCTCTAAGAAAAAGCCTATTGGGGACCAGCAGTTAGCGTAATGGCTATGTCACTGGACTCCCATGGAGTCAACCGCGGTTCGAGTCCCAGACCTGGTGGCTTAAACTCATACCGGGCGTGTGTGCGTGTGTGCCCAAGATTCCGAGAGGAGAATGGAGGAGAAGGGATTGCAGTGTGGCCATCCCCCCCAGGGGGCAATTTCTCGCTTTCTGTCTCTCTGTCTTTCTGGCGAGCGCACGCACCCTCTAGCAAAAACCTCTCAAAAAAAAAAAAAAAAGCCTATTGAATATTTAATCTGTTTGAAACTTATTTCAAAAGCTGGAGTGATTGATCTACTTTTATGTAAAATAACTGTAACAATTATGCCATGAGATGCCATGAGGAAACTGCTTCTATGATCCTTGTTGTTAATAAAACATCACCTGGGGCTGGCACATGGCCCAGACCTAGTGTCTTACTCTCTCACTTCCTCTCTCTCTGATTAATGTGTGTGCCCTGTAGAAAAAATTTTAAAATAATAATAAACTTAAATAAATCTTAAAAAATATGTATGTATATGTATATATATAAATATATAACATAAAACCATAATATCATTATCTTCATAATATCATTATCTTCACTTTTTATAAAACTGTAATGGTGTAATGATCAAAATAATAATAATTCTAATAGTGAAATCAAGTTATCATCATTGTTTGGAATGAATGTAAAAAACCCAAGGAAAGTTAAAATATCTGTATTCAAATTCTTAGTAAGTAAACATAGAAAACTATTTTTTGTTTATAAACTAATGCTGATGATCATGATGATGACAAAAAATAACTGCTATTAAAAAGAAAAGTTGGGGTGAGGATAAACACAGACCCAGATTTAACCACTCATCACCATTTCCCCCACCAGTCTGAAAGGTCACACACATGCACACATTTTTTAACCTACATTTTTTTAAAAGAATTATTTTATTTAACTTTATTTATTTATTTTTAATTTGATCAGAGAGGGACAGACAGAGAGAGAGGGAAAGTGAAAAAGTAACCAGGTTGAGGACTCAAACCATGGTTGGCCAAGTGGGAGTCCAGTCCAGCTTCCTTAACCACCCACCACACCACCTGCCAGGCCCTTAACCTAAATTTTAATTGTAAAGATAAAATATCAATATTAAATTAAATTTAAGAAAATTAAACCAGCAATAATTTTGTATTTCCTTCCATTTCAGAAAAATATCTTAAACGTTTTTTTTTTAGAGGTTTTTCGCTATAGGGCGCATGCGCTCGCCAGACAGACAGGGAGAGACAGAGAGACAGAAAGCGAGAAATCACCCCCCAGGGGGGATGGTCACGCCGCAATCCCTTCTTCTCCATTCTCCTCTCGGGATCTTGGGCATGCACGCACACATGCCCGGTGTGAGTTTTAAGCCACCAGGTCCAGGACGTGAACCACGGTCAACTACGTGGGAATCCAGCGACATAGCCATTACGCTAACTGCTGGTCCCTCTTAAATGCATTTTTAATAATGATGAGCACACAGGGGCCAGCCTCATAGTAAGTTATTCATCATTACTTGTATGTCACTGATTTCTGATCTTCGATGTGTAAAAGTAATAAAAACTCTTCTTTCAGCCTCTCAGATATCACTAGACTCTTTAACCTTTTGTGTTCTAGTTGAGGACACTATGGTTAGGCACATTAGAAATTCGCAAACGTCATTGTTCCAAACTCCATTTGGATTTTATCACATCACTCACTGGGGAATCCAGGGCTAACTGCGGGAATCCAGTATGTGCTGTCAGTGGTGGTGGAGGACTTCTGTTTGTGAGTTTGGGCATGCTATTAGGCCTACACAAAGAGGCATTCAGAGGTGCTTGTGAATGTTGTGTCACTTCAATTGGAGTGGCTGGTCCTTTCTTTTCTGAAATAGCATTTGTTTCCTAAAGAAGTAGTTAAAGAAATTTCTCTTTTTCAACATAATTTATACAAACAGAATTAATTTTTCTTTCCTTCCTTCCTTCCTTCCTTCCTTCCTTCCTCCCTCCCTCCCTCCCTTCTTTCCTTTCCTTTCCTCTCTTTTTTTAAAAACCTTTCCCCTCTTTTTTTTTTTTTTTTTTTTGACAGTGGGCACGTGGGCTCACCAGAGACAGAAAGAGATGGGGTTGGGAGGATAAAGCTCCTTCTATGGGGCATGGTCACACTGTAATTGTTCCCTCCCCCCCTTTTTTAAAGTTTTCTGCCATAGGGCATGTGCACTTGTTAGAGACAGACAGAGAGAGACAGTGAGAGGAATATCGAGAAATCACCCCCAGAGGGGGTATGGCCATGGTGCAATCCTTTTTCCTCTATTCTCCTCCTGGGATTTTGGGGATGCATGCACACACGTCTGGCATGATTTTCAAGCTGCTGAGTCCAAGGATGTGAACCACAGTTGGCCACATGGGAGTCCAGCACCTTAACTACCACACCACCTACTGCCCCTCCCCTTTTCCTCCATTTCTCTTTCCTTTCAGGATTTTGGGTTCACACACACACACACACACACACACACACACACATGCCCGGCATGTTTTTCAAGTCGCTGGGGCTTGGATTCTAACTATTCAAAAAGAGGCTATATGCCCATACTGAGAGGAAAGCAACTGATAGTGGCCATTTCTTATGAGCCCATCTACAACTGGGTATTAAATGACATTAAGGAATTACTGCTAATGTTGCCATGTATGATAATGATATTTTGTTATGTTACAAACAAAGTTCTAATTAGTTAGCGATAAATACTAAAGTATTTATGAGTAAAATAATTCAATATATGGAATTTACTGAAAATAAATAAAATAACCACAAAAACAGCTTTCTGGGACTGGCAGGTGGCATGGTGGTTAAGGCACTAGACTCCTACATGGCTGACTGCAGTTCGAGTTGCAGACCTGACAGTTTGCTTTCTTACTTTCCCTTTCTCTCTCTAGTCAAATTAAAAAATAATAATAACAAACAAAATAAATAAATAAATAATTAAAAAACAAAAACACCCTTTTGGTACCAGCAGATGGTGTAATGGTTCTGTTGCTGGACTCCCACATGGCCGACCATGGTTCAAGTCCTGGACCTGGTGGCTTCAAACTCATGCTGGTAATGTGTGTATGCATGCCCAAAATCCTGAGAGGAGAATGAAGGAGAAGCAATTGTGGCATGGCCATCCCCACTGGTGGGTGATTTCTCGCTTTCTGTCTCTCTATCTTTGAAGAGCACACACACCCTATAGCAAAAATCTCTCTGAAAATAAACAAAAACAGCCTTCTAGAAAAAACGTGGGGTGAGTGAAAACAGATAAAACAAATTTGACCATGAATTGACTGCTCAGGTTGGGAGGGATATATATGGTTCTCTATTTCTTTAAAAGAGATTTTTGTTTTGTTTTAAATATGTCTCTTTCCTTCCTTTGGAAAACACTGACCATAATCACAATAACCTGAACCCACCTTAATCCT